GCGAACTGTAAATTTGACCTACATGTTATTTTTATAAAATCGTTTTTGGCTTATTATAGATTGATTTGACAGTTTGTGTTCTACGTACCTTTCCATTTCAACTTACTCCCGAGTTCGAAATGTCACATTGCCCGAGTCGGAAACGTCTAGGACATTTTTTTTTAGGCTGGAAGGTCATTAGTCCAAGTTGGACAGGTGATCCCACTCCTTGTCACGTAAAAGTGGGGAATCAAAACCATGCCATTTGACTTAATGACAGACCTTAGGATCTAATGTGCACTAGTTAGACTATCTGGCCATCCAACCCCTCGGTCAAGAGTCTAAACATGCTTAGTTATAGAGTAATGATAAATACTCTGATAAACAGTACTGAATTAGACATCGAATTTTCTCCTGTTTACATGTATTTCCATAATTTATGATTAGAATATAGTTGACCTCCCATACGTAAAAGTGGGGAATCAAAACCATGCCATTTGACTTAATGACAGACCTTAGGATCTAATGTGCACTAGTTAGACTATCTGGCCATCCAACCCCTCGGTCAAGAGTCTAAACATGCTTAGTTATAGAGTAATGATAAATACTCTGATAAACAGTACTGAATTAGACATCGAATTTTCTCCTGTTTACATGTATTTCCATAATTGTCCCCCGCCTTTCGAAGAAAGCAGGGGACTATTAAAATGGGTTCGTCCGTCTGTCTGTCCGTCACACTTTTTGGGACACAATAACTCTCTTCCTAATTGAGCTAGAATGTTCAAACTTGGTGTATGTGTTTATTAGGTCAATGCCTTGATGGAGTTCGAAGATGAGCATTTTCCGCTTAGGGTAAGCAGAGATAAGCAATTTGATTGGTTGATGCTTTGGGACACGATAACTCTCTTCCTAATTGGGCTAGAATGTTCAAACTTGGTGTATGTGTTGATTAGGTCAATGCCTTGATGGAGTTCGAAGATGAGCATTTTCCGCTTAGGGTAAGCAGAGATAAGCAATTTGATTGGTTGATGCTTTGGGACACGATAACTTTTAATTGAGCTAGAATGTCCAAACTTGGTGTATGTGTTTATTAGGTCAATGCCTTGATGGAGTTCGAAGATGAGCATTTTCCGCTTAGGGTAAGCAGAGATAAGCAATTTGATTGGTTGATGCTTTGGGACACGATAACTCTCTTCCTAATTGGGCTAGAATGTTCAAACTTGGTGTATGTGTTGATTAGGTCAATGCCTTGATGGAGTTCGAAGATGAGCATTTTCCGCTTAGGGTAAGCAGAGATAAGCAATTTGATTGGTTGATGCTTTGGGACACGATAACTTTTAATTGAGCTAGAATGTTCAAACTTGGTGTATGTGTTTATTAGGTCAATGCCTTGATGGAGTTCGAAGATGAGCATTTTCCGCTTAGGGTAAGCAGAGATAAGCAATTTGATTGGTTGATACTTTGGGGCACGATAACTCTCTTCCTAATTGAGCTAGAATGTTCAAACTTGGTGTATGTGTTGATTAGGTCAATGCCTTGATGGAGTTCGAAAATGAGCATTTTCCGCTTAGGGTAAGCAGAGATAAGCAATTTGATTGGTTGATGCTTTGGGACACGATAACTTTAGTTCTAATTAAGTGAGATTGATGAAACTTGGTGTATAGTTTCATTACAGTAATACCTTGACTAAGTTTGATAATGAGCATTTTCTGCTCAGGGTAAGCAGAGCGATACGCAATTTGATTTTTATATGTGTCCTCTAATTATTTTCCTATTTCGGCGGGGGACACCAGCCTCACTGTTGGCTTGTTTATGATTAGAATATAGTTGACCTCCCATAAATAAAATGAAATAAAAGTTATTTGAAATGGATTGGGACTTATATTCAGTGGATCTAATGGTTTGGATTTGCATTTGATATTGCTCGTCTTGTAACTTGCTGCCCGAGTGAGGGTTTAGTAGCTGCTGCAGGAAACCAAGAGGCACCACACCAAGTAACTAACCTCTTGGGGTCTGAGAAGATAATGCTCCAGAAGTTTTTACATGTACCTGAAAAAAAATGTTTATCAGTACCAGTGCACAAAGTTTGAGTGATTTGAGTATCAGCTTGCAGTGCAAGCAACTTATATTTGTCTACATTAGACACACACACACATGACTAACTTTTGACAATTTCATGTTGGTGTCAAGTTCAAAATGGGAAAGGATGTGATGGTGGGGATGGATGGTACATGTAACTTTAACACGTGCACATGAAATAACAAGGTCCGTCATTGAGTCAAGTGGCTGGGTTTTGATTCCTGGCTTGAACGTGACAAGGAGTTAGGTAATCTGTCCAACCTTGTGGGTCCTCCAGTTTCCTTCGACTGCTAAAATACCTACCGCGCATACAAATGATTAAAATACAATTGAGCTATATGTTAGTCCCAAAATGACCTAATTTGGGTCGAGTAGATGTTAATCCCCCATCTTAAGCCTAAACCAACTATGAACATTAAAGATTATATTCAACTTAGCCTACAATAAAGTAATTATTCATTATAGTAATAAATAATATTATTTTCCAGGTTAGTCCAGCATTTCTAAATGCCAACAGTACTAGTCATACCTGGGCTTTTAGTGCAATAGCAGAAATAATAGGTAAAATACTAATTTCTTCTTTGTTATAATAAATTTGTAATTTATTAGTTATTTGATTGGTTAAATTATGCCACAAATATGCATGGAATTGTATGCAGGGCAGGCCAAATTTGGAAATAGAGAACTGGCCAACCAAGATGCTGATGCCTTTATAAAGAAATGCAATTTTTCGCACAACTTAGCTGGAATTATTTTCTAATTTGGTCAGCTAGGTACATGTATATTGCATCACTGTCAGTGCATTCCATCGTGTAGTTTCATAAACGAGATGATATGGTGTGTGTTTGATGAACAGGAAATGGCAGTACAAGCCAGTCTGTTTTTTGTTAACCTATGGGTCATTTTAATATATAAATATATCATCTATTTCCATAGCATTATATGATGTCCTATCTAATAAAACTTGTTACGAATTTGAAACCAATATTAGGTCATGGCCATAATATTGTTACAACCCACACATACCTTTATGCTCTCATGGTCATGATCATGTTTTAAACTGTTCGATTGGCATTTAAGAAATTTTTGACAGTATAAAGATCCATTCTCCATTCAACTAAATGAATACATTTAATCTCAAACGATTTTGTCTTGACCATCCAAAGTGAATATTTTGCCTTTTCAAAACAATTTCTATATCTAATTTATTAATTAGTTTATGAAATTTAGACCAAATTTTACTAGAGTAATAACAGTAGTAGAAAAGATTATTTTATTTGTTTTCAATGGCGGCACTGCAGAAATCACACAAGTTAGAAGGCTTTAATTTCCATTTGAGTAAAGTATCGTTTGTATATATTATATTATGTAAATACTTATACTAGAATGTTCTAAGTTTTGTGTCCGGTAAAATTTCATAAATTAATTTAAAATATTTATGAAAATCATCGATAGTGATGACATCATTTAAAGACCTCTGCCATTTTGAAATCGATGTTGGATTAGTAAGTTTTTCTAGGATTAATTTATTGTACACATCTTTAGATTTAATTTTACAGATTGAATTATTGTATATTATGTTTAATATTTTATTAAGATAGTCACAGATTGATGTCGGGTTAGGATTATAGATACAAGTGGAAAGGTTTAATAGCTTTCCTACTTTCGACTTGATACCTTGAAAAGTTAATTTATTTTGTTCACTGTTATAGTTATCAGTATTTAAATCTTTTACATATACAATATTATCATTTAATAGATTTGAATTGTATATTAGCTTGTTGTTTATTATTATATTTTTATTATTCCAAATAAGTTGATCTTCAAGATTATCAATAGTATCAATGTGGCTTGTAAATACATCTTCCCAATTTTGATAGAGAATTTTATAGAATGTTGGTAGTTGTATTAGTGTCGATTTATAGTTACACATTGGCAATATTGACCATCTGAACTTCCCTTTCCCAAAATGTTGCTGTCTTATAGATTTCATCAATATCAGGAAAAGGTTAATGCAAGTGGGATGGTTTAAATATACATGTAGGTACATGTAAAAAAAAATGCAAGCCAATTTGGAAGATGCTAATTGTAGGCCGGTTGGGGAGGTTTAGTAATGTCTGAAGTCCACAATGGCCGCTTTATATAAATAGAGTATTTTGGGGAATACTAACCTTAAACCTACATGTACTGTATACCCAAAATACAGCCATTGTGGACTCTGGAAATACCTGAACCTACCCAACTGGCCTACAATTAGTATCTCCCAGCCAATAATTGTCCCTTTTAGCTAAAAAATGTTATGTACATGCACTTAGTTCAGATATGGCACCTATTGTTTATTAAGGACTGGACAAACTTAAGACATCATAGACTAGAGATTTGGTAACTTCTAGCATCATAGAATTAAGCAGTTTTATTCTTCAATTCACCATATGTTTGGTGCAATATAGCCCAGTTGGAGCGGATGTGTCATAAAACCAATTCATTCATTTATTCTTCAAAAATTTTAAAAGTATGTTTTGTATGAGTATATGGACGTTAATCTCATTTTTTTTTTTTTAGACAATGCCTATGATCCTGATGTTAATGCTTCTGAATTATGGATTGATAAGATGGAAGAAGGTGGTAAAACCTGCCTCACTTTCACTGATAATGGAGCTGGATTGAATGCTGATAGGTTGTTAAAAATGTTAAGGTGAGGACAACAAACGGCACGAATCACGACAATAAAATCTTGTGTAGATATCAAATCAAACCATTCTTTGCATTATTTGATGTCACTAAAATTCCTGTTTATTTTTTATAGTTTTGGATTTTGTGAAAAAGCAAAATATGAGTCAAAATCTGGACACAAGCCTATTGGTCACTATGGAAATGGTTTTAAATCAGGATCTATGAGAATTGCCAAAGATGTTTTAGTATTTACTCATCATCTGAAGGAAATGAGTGTTGGAATGTTGTCACAGACATTCCTTAGTAAAACCAAGGCAGAAACCGTAGTTGTGCCTTTAGTTACTTGGAACAGTATTACAAATATCCTTTTTATATACCCTTTCAAAAATTACTTCTTCTAGAGTGATGTCCCTTGTTCATGTTTACATATACCTTGTAAAATCTAGTGCCAAAAGTTGTCATCCAAGATACCTGTCTATATTGTGGACATGTTGACAACTTTTATGCGGTGATCACACAACCCCTGTTGTGTGATCTGATTATAAAACAGTCGAGGGTTTGGGTGGTCTAGTGGTTAACATGTGCATGTGAATTCCAAAGATCTGTCATTGAGTGGTGTGGTTTCGATTCCCTGCTTGTACGTGACAAGGGGTAGGGTCACCTGTCCACCATTGTGGGTTTTCTTTGGGTCTTCTGGTTTCCTCCCGCTGCTTGTGAATTATCGAAATAGAATTGAATCAAATGTCAGTCCCGAGTGGACGTTAAACACCATATCTCTCTCTCTCTCTTTCTATAAAACATAGTTGTCAGTGCTCCATATGGTTCATTTCTAGCATTTTCCTGCTTGAAAACATACTTACATTTTCTATCGAACTACTTTGTTCTCAATTTAGTGGATTGGACCTTCAACTGCTAAACTTTCTGACCTTTGAACTTGAACTTTAACACAAAGGTTATCAGATCAGGGCAGGTCAACAAATTTCACTGATCAAAGGTCATGACCTCGATTACAGCCTTTACTATATCAGAAAAAAAAAACATACCTTAACACATGTAACAGAAGAGATCTGAGTCGCTAGAAACAGTCAATAATATTCAAGCCATTACATCATTTTCTTCCTTCAACACAGAAGAACGTTTATTAGCAGAACTTGAAGAGTTGTCAGATCTACAAACAGGAACAAGAATAATTCTCTATAATCTTAAAGCGTAAGTTTATTATCATACCAACAGTGCTTGGCAATCAAGACTACTTAAAATTGGGGCCATCCGCTGGCCCAGAGCATTGATTATGGGCTTGTCATGTTAATAAATGTTTAAATAAAAATTTATATACCATTTGAAGCCAGAAAATAGACCATGCAGTTGGCAGATTTGGCTCTTACATAATGCATCTTAAATTAGTTATACTTTATGTTGGTAACCAGGAGCCACGATAGCTACATGTATGTGAGTAAGACGCTTGGCTCGCTAGCCTGGAGTTCGTGGGTTCGATCCCAGTGTAAATCGGGATTTTCCAGGGAAGTTTCACCTTGTCAGTGGTGCAGGATAGAGGGTCTGACAAGGACAGCCGTCTTAGTCAATCGGATGGGTCGAGAAACAGAGGTCCCATGTACACATCGGCTTGCACATAAAAGATCCCTTGGCAGTTGGAATCCGATATAAGAGTAGGCTGTAGTGCTGTTGTCTGTTAAACCCCATTTCATTATATTTGTTGGGAAGCGTGGTGGTTCAGTGTGTACTGTAAGGTGCTGGCTCACTAACTTGGACGTTCCACGTCTGGTGTTGCTTGAAAAAGTTCACAGGATTTTTCAGTCCTGGTTTCCCATTGTCAGTGGTGCAGGAAGGAGATTCTGGCAAGAAACAGTGTCTAGTTGTTTGGATGGGACAAAAAAACGAGTTCCTATGTACATGTTGGCATGTTTGTAAAAGAACCCTTGACAGTTGGATCTTTAATGGACAGTGGGCAGAAACGCCACTGTCTGGGCAAAATATCTCTCATAGCAGGCATTGCGGCATGTGCCTGTCTTAATCAGACCAGTTGGTGTAGAAAATTAGGACGTTAAGCAAACCCCCATTTCATTTCATATTTTATGCCTTAACTGTGCCATCATGCACATTTTTTTTTCTTTCAGTTTTAAAATATAAATATTATTTTAATCAATAATTTGTCGACTTATATTAAAACACAATTTATATGGAAAACAATCACTGAGTTTATTTCACACTACATTTCATAAGTTCCTGTTGTCGTTTGCAAGTAAGCAATGTGAACTAAATTGTGTTTAGTTTTAGTATTATATTCAATTGCTAAATGCTGTAGAAGGATTTTGTCGACTTATAGGAATCATTTATTTTCCAGAGACAACACAGGAAAGCTTGAGCTGGATTTTGAGAGTGATCCAACAGATATATTGAATCCACAGACTTTAGAAATTGATTTGACATCTGTGTATCGTCCTGTACAAGAATCTGTGCCATTGTACTGTATATCTTTAAGAGTAGGTACCATTCGATTAAAACTTTTTATGTAAAAAACATAAAAATTTTGATGGATATTTGGCAAATTATTTCTTTAATGTCTATTTTCGTATGATGCTTCCTCACTATCCACGAGATCACAGGTTTGATACAATTGTTGGTCAAGCATCACTGTAATCCGGGCATTATTTAATCTTGTGTATTTATCAATTTCTTTCACATTCATTCAATATCAATTCTTTGTTTAAAAATTTGTAAAAAATCGTTTAAAATCACCAAAATCATCTAATTTGTACTTGCGTCCAGTTTAAAGCGGATCATTTAAATTTGATAATGAGTGTCTAATTTACAAGCATTTAAATTCTCGATCACTGTTAAAAAATAAACAACCCAATTGGTTATTGGTGTATAATGATTAAATTCTTGTAAATTGGATGGATACTCATTATCAAAATTAATCAGTCAGCTTTAAACTGTACTATACAGTTTAAAGTACAAATTAGATGAATTTGGGTGATTTTAAATGATTAAACAAAGATTTGATATTAAAGGAATGTGAAAGAAATTAGTGCTTGATACACAAGATTAAATGATACCCGGGTTACAGTGCAAGTTCCTCAGTATTTTATTTTTCCAGCCAGTCGTGTATGACAAAGACAGCTGTTTTGTCTTTTAGATGTCATGAAAAACGTCTGCTGGTATTCATTAGCCAGGCTGGTGCAGAATATTTGGATGTTAAACCCCATTACATTTCATTCATTCTTTAATAATATGAAGGTGATAAAAGCAGTATTCGAGGGGTTGCTTTAGATCATAAGGCCTGTCATTGAGTCAAGTGATATGGTTTTGATTCCCTGCTTGTACGTGACAAGAGTAGGTCCCCAGTTTTCCTTCCACGCAAGAGAATCATTGAAATAAAATTGAACTATATGTTAGTCCTGAAATGACCTTGTGAAGTGTTCATTAATTTGGAGTGGGTAAGATACAGGCTTGCTGACCAGGACATTTCAGGTTTACTCCATTTCATCCATTTCATTTTACTTTCTGGGTTAATTCTGCCAGAAATATGCCAGAAATGCTGATTGATTAAAATGGCCAATAAACACAATTACTTTATTAATTTCAGGAATATTGCAGTATTTTATTTTTAAAACCAAGGATGAAGATTGTGTTACGAGGAAAGAAAGTTAAAACCAAGTTAATCTGTAAAAGTTTATCTCAAACTGAAACTGACAGATATAAACCACATTGGCTTGTATCCTTTAAAAACTGAAAAACAAACTTGACTGGGGAGCCGTGGTGGGTCAATGAGTATGATGCTGGCTCGCTAAACAGGGGGTCTTGCATTTGCTCCTGGTGTTAGCAGAGAAAGTTTCTCAGGATTTTTGGATGCAATTTTTCCTTGTCAGTGGTGCAGAATGGAGAGCCTGGCAAGGACAGTGTCTAGTTGTTCAGATGGGATGAAAAACTGATGTCCTGTTTACACATTGGCGTTCACGTAAAAGAACTGTCTCGAACAACACTGTCATGAATCCGAGATCTCCTGGTTAGCTTGCCAGAAGGTCATGAGTTCAATCCGAGAAAGTAGCTTGGAATTGGCTCCCCATTCTCAGTGATGCAGAATTGAGGGTCTGACAAGGAATAGTGTCTAGCTGATGTCCCGTGTACCCGGTGGCATGCACGTAAAAGAACTCCTACCAATTTTAATTTTGAAAGAAAGGTAGGCATAGAATCGCTCTCCAGGCAAAATTTCCATCATGTATGCACCTTCTGTCATATACCCGTCTTCATTAGCCCTAGAATACTGTCACAGTTTGACATAGATTTGAAAATTGAGATTTTAGCTTCAGGTGATGTTTTGTTAATACCATGAAATATGATATATAAATTGTCAGTTTGCATATGAAGTCATTGCATAACCGATATCATGCAGTCAGTGACTATTTTAGAATCCAAATGTTTATGCTTCTTGACCAAAGTCCAGGATAAACCATTGAAAATAACCTATGGCTTTACTTGTTCGGAAAGTAGTAATGAAGAATATGGTATTATGATGTACCACAAAAATCGACTGATCAAAGCCTTTGAAAAGGTTGGTTACCAGAAACAACCCAATGACCTTGGTGTCGGTGTAGTTGGAGTTGTAGAGGTCAATTTTTTACAACCAATCCACAACAAACAAGATTTTAACAAAGATGAGCGTTACAAGTAAGTATGAACTAGCAAGTGTGTTGGACCGTGCACGGATCTGGCATCTACATCATTCCTTTTATCGAAATTTCCAGCGATAGACCCCGGATGTGTGCACTTGCCAATTGTCACTACAACAGTCAGTATGGAGATCTGATATAATTGGGACCCCTTCTGCTAAAAGTCTTTGATCCGCCTCTATCAGAAATGGCATCTACAGCGTTCCATTTATTCAAATTTTATGCGGTAGGCTCCTTAGACCTCCTGTCATGTACTTTTTGCACCTTTAGTGCTCGCTCGTTGTCACTGCAACAGTCAATATGAAGATGAGATCTGATACTTTCGATGCCAATCTTGATCCGCCCTTGCGTGAATCTTTAGTTTTGTTTTTTATTGGTGGATAGAAAATGTATTCTAATGAAGATCACATTAACAAAAAAAATTCAATTCTTTTCACTTCTTCTGTAACGCTATTCCTTGTCACATACAAGATGGGATCGAAGCCATACCTCTGTGATAAACTTTATAATCTGTTGATCTAATACACAATGTGAGACCAACTGACCACCCACCCCAAATATCCTGAAAAAGATGTAACCTTTGTTCAAGAATAATGATAACAATTTGTAATTTTTAAATTGAAACTATCTGTATTCCAGTACTTTTATGTCAGCATTAGCGATTAAAACTAATGAATACTGGAATGAGAAGAAATCAGGTTCTAATTCTGTTTCTACTAATCTAGGGTAAGTCGTTTTTAATTTATTTTATTCATTACATTATATCTGGTTTAGAAATGTGCAGAAAAAAATCCAATCTCATAATTTAGAAAGAACTACTAAAAGATTCACCCACAAGAGCGAGACTGATCAACCCTACTCAGGTATCCACAAATGAGTGGAATGTAGGTCCTTAATTTAATCAAACAATGTGTCACTGTCAATCAGGACATAGTTGCAGCAAATTAGACGAAAATAGCAAGTCGTAATGTTTTAAGTTCCTAAGGTATAGTCTACCTAATTACTTATTCCCTGTTAAAAACAAGACATGATAGAGAGCAAACATACTTTTACAAAGTGAATTAAGAACATTTTGCAGATATGAAACATAACAGACTGATATCGGTTGCAATTAAGGATGCAGTCAAACCCTGGGGATTGGGATTAATCACAATTATTGGGTCAGGTGATTAAATAATCACGTATTTTCTCAACAATCGCTGTATCACGATATATCATGATTATTTTTATAATAATCGCAAATTATGATTTGGGAGAATCAAATTTATAAAATTTGGAAAATACTTCGTATTATTTCGACCAAATTCTCGTCAAAATGACACTAGCATAATAAAACATCTTGTGCAAACAGTTTCTTCTAGTTACCCCACTGCACGCTGTGTTGATTAGAGTGTTGTTGCCATAGAAACTAACTCCCATGGCCTGATTGTTGACCATCGATTATGAAGTCGGCAGTTTTGTTATATACAATTTATGCGTCTGGATGATGTTTCTTTTATTTCTGTTAGAAAAAATGACTGCCGAACAAAGCTTTGATTCTGTTTACACATTTATTAGTTTTAATAATTGCGATAATAAATCCTTCAAGGACGATTATTTGAATTATCACAATAAATGATCTCATCACGATAATCCAAGATATTGCAATTTTTTATTTTGCAATAATCATGTTTAATCACGATTGTTTATGAATGTATCATTGCATCCTATGTTGCAGTACCCTTTAATGTCGAAGAACACACGAACAGATATGTTATAATAAAAATAATTGAGCATTTCAAGACTGATTCTGATAGTTACAAAAATGATGCCACTAGAAAAGTTTTTGAATGAATATGGATTCACACTTGAAGAAATGTCCCAAAGGATCCACACCCATTTCCTATACTTTCAGTTATTGAGTCAAGTGACACAGTTTTGATTCCCAGCTTGTACATGACAAGGAATAGTGTCGCCTGTCCAATCTCATGTAATGATACTTACATATTTTCCTATATCTTTATAGAGCCAATCCAGATTGGTTGTGGGCCCAGTGTGATAATTGTTTAAAATGGCGACGTTTACCAGATGGTATCAACAGACAGTTACCAGATAAATGGTATTGTTATATGAACCCTGATGCCTCACACAAGTAAGTTGTAGATTTCTTGATAAGAGGGGACAGTTATAATCAAATAACCGCTCCAGTACAGAAGAGATTTACTGAATAACACATCAATATTACAATCAGTCAGCCAAAAAAAAAACCCCAGGTCCAGACAAGAGGAGAAAAACATTGGGTTTAGCGATATGGGCTAAAACATACAGGACTGGTCGGGTAACAATAAACAGGTATTTCTTGTCTTTAGGCCTCACTGTAAACAGTCAGCCAGGAAAGAAAAAACGCCCAGACAAATTTATGGGACCTGGCTTGGAAAGGAGAAGAAAAGCGTAAGGGTCGACAATTTGGGCTAAAAACATTTAGGGTTGGTCAGGTAGCAATAAACAGTCTGTCTTGATATACACTGTTTCAACAGTTCGTGTTTGGAACAAATTAAGGACATGTTTTGTCACAGATGTGATATTTTGTCAATAATTATTTTGGGAAGATTTATTTATAATACAGCTTTATATATTAGAGTCATAAATGGAATGGATTGGGGATTAATTTCTTATCAAGACAATATTTCAATCATTTTATGATACACATGAATTTGCTTGAATCATCTGTTATTTATTTCCTTGCTTTGTTCGTCTATTTTTATTTATTAGTCGATGTGAAATTATAGAAGAACCAGAAGATGAAGATCTCTCTTTACAACATGCGTCATATCAAAAAACATTTAAAAAAGAAATGTAAGTTTCATTGTATGACATAACAGATTTTCATATTTCATTATGAACTCTCATTTTATTATGGTCTTTGATTATCCACACCTTCATTTTGCTCCCTCTTCACTCACTGTTTTATATATCATTACGAACGCCAGTCGTTGTTTTTTGTATTTTAGAGGAGAGCCGAAAAAAGCTCCCCTTAATGAACAAATTGAAAAAATCGCTCCCCCAAAAAAGCTCTCCCAGTTTCGTTAAGAAGAGTGATTTAGAAATTATGGAGAATGATCTGATATTAAGGAGAGTGATTGGTTGTTTGTATGGGAAATGGTTCTGAAGATCAATAACTGCGTGTAAGGGTCATCATTCTTGGTTACATATAAATGATGATAAACATCGTCTGCTAAATAGCACTCGTAGTCGTACGGTCAAGTCAAACTTCTACTGTCGTCTATAACTACAGTACATACGGTATTCCAATAGAAATACTTGTCGACATTTCTAAATATATATAGCTTGAATAAATTTTGTTTAAAAACATAACCCCTATTCAAAATATAATCATAAATGCTTGAAAATTCCATTAAAATATAATTTATTTCTTCCGGAATTATTCTCATTGGAAATTTTCACGTGCCATCTCTCGTAATTTCTCACGTCTCGCGAGAGTTTTACTTTTCATTTCAGTTAAATTAACCAATGGTGCATAGTCGCCATCTATTTTTAGCAACATATTTATCAGAATTTTATTAGCTTGTGCGATCACATTATACTAATCGAATACACCAAATAAATGTTCACAATGACAGCATGGTGGCGCTCGGAATGTGAGTCTTTCACACTCTTTTGAAAAAAAACCAAATACATGTCCGTGATTTACAAATATGGAGAGCGATTTTCAATTTTAAAGTGAGGGAGAAAAACCTCCCCTCAGTCGACATTCGGGTGCGCGACAGGCGCTCGAGAGCGATCGCGCGCCTCAAAAAACAATGACTGGAACGCACGTTTTATTGTGGTCACTCATTGTACAGACTCTACTGAGACCATATATTATACTGTCTGGCAAGCTTCATTGTCTGGCAAGTTTTATTATCAATAATTCTCTGAAAATTTTCTCTTATTTGTGTATATAGTTCTTGAAAAAAAAAAATAGACAAGAAAGTTGTGACAAAATCAGACAGATGTAATCGATTGAAACATACTCTATGGATGCAACTTGTTTAATGTCACACTTTTCTGCTCTGCCTTACAGTGAGCCACAAGAAAATTTTACCTAGACAGAAGTGCTAAGACCTGCTATTTTTTGCAAATTCTGTCAATGGTTCTTTTGCATATGCGTCAATTTCTTTTGCACCTGCATCACAGTTAATGGGAAACCTCTCTGGAAAATCCCTTTGGACTTTTTAATCCAACAAAGGAATTGAATCGAATCCAAGATCTCAGCCCCAACTTGTATTTGCTGAGTTTGCAGTGGCCATATGATATTTTTTTTTTGTATACTCTTGTATTTTATATTCCAATGGTTATATATTTTATTGTTTTATTATTTTATATTCCAATGGTTATATATTTTATTGTTTTATTATTTTATATTCCAATGTTTATATATTTTATATTCCAATGTTTATATATTTTATATTCCAATGTTTATATATTTTTCAGGGAACAACAAAAACGAAAAACAAGAGTTGAAGGAGTAAGTTATTTATTTTAAATATTTTTACCTTCCTTGGAGAATAACGTACTTGATTTCTTGATAGATCCATTGTTATTAGATAACTTGTTACAGATGTATTCATATGTTGTCTTCCGTCCATTATTCACATTTGCTTGTGGACACTCTAAAGGCTAAACTTATTATCCAATTGACTTCAAAGTTATACACATTATTGGTATACGAAGACTTAACTTCTGGCAACCTACCTTAAATCATAACAGAAGGAAACTATGCTGATATTAAATTTTTATTTCTATTAATAGCATCAGATGTTGATAAAGAAAGAAAAAGAATTAATTGAAAAGGAAGAAAAATTAAAGCAGAGAGTTAAAACAGTTGAACAGATATGTACAGAGGTAAGAACTGTATGCAAAATCAGGCCATTCAAAAAAAAAATATTCTAGTTATCAGAAAATGTTTCACAAAAATCTGATCCAGGAGGGAGGTTTTTATATATTTATTTTGTTGTAGAATCACTATGCGGTAAAATCGTTTTTAGATGCTACATTGATCGCAACATGTGCGAGCCACGGTGGCTCATTGAATAAGATGTTGGCTTGCTAACCTGGAGGTCCCGTGTTCGATCCCGTGTTCGATCCCTGTGTTGGCCCAGAAAGTTCATCAGGATTTTCTGTAGGTCGTAACACCGCTGTCTGCACAAAATTTCCCTCATTGTACACTGTATGGTGTATGCCCGACTTCATTAGCCCAGTCGGAGCAGTACTGTAGGACGTTAAACCCCATTTCATTTCATTTATCTCAGCATGGTGTTTATAGGAATGGTTGATTATTGAACATGTAATTGTTATGAAGGTCTAGGAATTATGATTTTTGTTATATCTGACAAAAAATCAGACATTAATGAACTAGTACCTGACATTCTGATTTTGTCTAGGGAATGTGTTAAAGACACAGAAAAAAAGACAGATTTGTGCTAGACAAAAGTCACAGACCAGAGATGAATTGTGCCTGACGAAGCATTAATCTTTGCCAGATAGTGTGTTTGACAGATGCCTTATCTCCAAGCTTGATGTTATATAATTTTGTTATAAAACTCTGGGGAGCCAAGGTGGCTCAGTGAGTAAGGCATCGCTCACTAACCTGGAGATACAGGCTTTGATCCCATAATTGGTTGAAAAAATTCACCGTAATTTTCCTGACATGGTTTCCCCTTGACAGTGATGCAGGAATTTATGCACACATTGGCACGCACGTAAATAAACCCTTGACAGTTGGAAGTAGGACATAGCGCCACTTTCCGGGCATGGCATATGCTCTTCTTCATTAGCCCAGTCAGTGCAGAAAAGTAAGATGTTAAACCACATTTCATTTCATGTTTCAGGTAACATCTACACAAATCCAAGAAAGAAAGAAAACTGAGGGATTGAGAAGAATGTTACTAGATGCTAAGAAAAGAGAAGCTAATCAAAGGAAATTAATTTTAGAATTACAGATGAAGAAATCACAAGTAAACAAAAACCAAAAGGAGCTATGTAAGGCTGCAGAAAGTTTACGTGTTTCAAACTTTGAAACAACGGTAAGTATTATTATAAAGAGGCATGATGTTAAGAGCTGAATTAGTCTATTGCAGGGTGTTTTTCTGGCTATAAATGTTATATTAATTATTAATTAGACATTTATTCACATGACAAGCCCATAATCGTTTGGGTGTGCAGAGTAGGGTCGCCTGCCTAACTTCATGGGTTTTGTCTGGATCCTCCCATTGCTAAAGACCCTATGTGTTAGTGAATTATTGAAAGAATGTTAGTTCCGATATAACCTAGTCTGTTAATGTCGAGTGGATCTTAAACCCCATTTCCCTCTTTCTCTCTCTCTCTCCCTCATATTGAATTAGATGTGTACTAAATGCATATTGTATTCAGTGGCAGTAAGAAAGAAATAATTAAAATAATCACAAATGATCAACAATTACTACATTTAATCAGAGATCCAATTAAATTCAGTAATTGTTGATCCATAGAACTTTTGTGTTTATTGTAATGTGTTCAATTACTAAATCCTATTCAAACAGTATAAAGAAATAATTATTTGGGTTTATAAATATGCATTACAGGCTTTGTTGGAGGATGCTTCTGAATTAACTGATGGACCAACAGTTTCATCTACAAGGTATTTATCTGGCGTTTTTTTTTTTTGTTCATATAACGGTCTGTCATTGAGTCAACTGGCATGGTTTCGATTTCCTGGTTGTATGTGACAAGGTTGAAGGAATAGGGTCGTCTGTCCAACCTCGAGGGTTTTCTCCGGGTCCTCTGGTTTCCTCCAACTGCTAAAGACCCCTAAGCGCAACCGAATTATTGAAATAAAATTGAACCATATGTTAGTCCCAAAATGACCTAGTTTGTATCAAGTGGGCCTTAACCCTATTTCTCTCTAGTTCATATAATGTGAACGTATATTCTGTGAATTTCCTGCACACTATTGTTTCTCAAATTTGCAGGGATTGTTTCTGATTGCAAATTTTCCTGTAGAATTTCAAACTCATAAAATCTTGTGAAGACGGTACAGGCCAGATTTCTTGATAGAATGTATTAAAACTCAGTAGGATTGTTTATTAGTTTTCAGTGAAGAACCCTGTTGAATTTCACATTTTTTATATCATTTTGAATGATTTCAGCCGATTTACATTTTGGATTTACATTTCCAGGCAATGTATGAAATTTTCATTTAAATTTGCAAGGATTTGTCATAAGAAATTCTTATTAAATTTCAAAATTTTAGAATTATAAATCATGGTTGTGTTATAATCCAGACCCTTTTGGAAGAGCTCCATTAATGTAACTCTTACAAAATAAATCTTTTTTCTTTTACATTAAAAAAATGCTCATCTGAGAGCCAAAAATGCTCCACGAGCATTACTTTTATGTATATGGAATGAGCACACCATAAAACTTTCATTATTATTATTAATGATACAACTCACATTTAATATTATAAAATTTTCCTGCTTCAGTGGTATGAAAAGGAAAACTATGGGCAGTGATATTACAGTAAGCAAACGTCTTATTATCAAAAAAGAAGATACAGATGAAGTAGTTGCAGTCATTCCAGACTCTGATGAAGTTATTGACTTGACAGAGGAAGACGAACAGATAATAATACCTGATCCTAAATTGGTTCAGAAAAATCAATTAATGGAAGATATTAAACCAAACATCGAAGAACTTGAAGCGCAAGTTGGCACTAGTGAAAAGGAGGTGTCAACAGGTGAAATAGAAACACAAACAGATCTAGACTTAGATGATAACAATACTAATCCCTCCAAAGACAAAACTTTAACCGAAAAACAGGACAAAGACTTAGACGTGACAAAGATAGAATTAGAAGATACAAAGCTAAAATTAGAAGATGCTAACAAAAGATTAAAAGATCTACAAAATAATGTTCACTCTCTTTTATCAATTATTGTACCAGGTGTAGATTTAGGGGAAGCGACGGAGATTGAGACAATCGTGACAGAAATGATCCGGGTCAATCAAGAATCATCTTGATCTGTGTTTGGGGTAAACATTCAAGATTTATCGTGATGTGTGTATGGTACATGTAACTGAAAAAGAGTCATCGTGATCTGTGTAGTGTAATCAAACAGGCTTTATCATGATCTGTATAGTGTAATCAAACAGGTTTCATCATTATCTGTGCAAGTTAAATAATCAAGATCGATTGTGATCTGTGTATGGTAAACAAATAAGATTCATCGAAATCTGTGTATGATAAATAAACAAGGTTATTAGTGGTTTGTATATGGTTAACAAATAAACAAGATTTGTCGTGGTCTGTGTATGGTAAACAAATAAACAAGATTCTTTGTGATCGGTGTATGTAAAACATACAAGATTCATTGTGATGTGTGGATGATAAAGTTCATTGTGATTTGTGTCTGATAAACAATCAAGGGTCATCATGATTTGTGTCTGATAAACAATCAAGGGTCATCATGATTTGTGTCTGATAAACAATCAAGGGTCATCATGATCTGTATATTGTAAACAGTCAAGGGTCATCATGATCAGTGTATGATAAACAAATAAACAAGAGTCATTGTGATCTGTGTATGGTAAACAAACAATATCCATTGTGATCTGTATATGGTAAACAAACAAGATCCATTGTGATCTGTATATGGTAAACAAACAAGATCCATTGTGATCTGTGTATGGTACATGTATCCAAACAAGATCCATTGTGATCTGTGTTAAATAAACTGTATAAGAAGAACATGTATTAGAAGGTTCCACCTTTTTATAATCATTCAGGAAATTTGGTAAAAGTGAAAGAAAATCTTTTGTTGATATTATACTGAATTAGATCATTTAGGTGCTGCACTATCAGCGATAGATGAGTATAACTATAACGTTTACTCAGAGGCTTAACAAAGTATTGTTGCTACACGTATTTGTGTACATGTACCAAGATTGAACTCAAGAAGGATGGGTACAACGTTGACATGGAAGATTAACATACATATATATACCAAGATTGAATCCACAGCAGGTTGTGTTATCAAATGTTACATTAGGTTTCATTTAGATTCACAGTAAAACTAGTAATTTAGAGCAGTATCATCAAGCAGATATTTTAATCTATAACTAATTATTTAACATGAATAAAGTGGTTAACCAGTTGCTGTTTGATTTTAACAGATTGAAAACAATTTGAACCGTTCCATCCCACTGTTAATGTTTAGTATTTTTAAAATCCATTTTGTGTTATTTTTTATATGAAAGTATTTGCAAATCATAAAATCTTTTCAAAAGATGTGGACCAAAAAGTATTTATAAATAACTCTATTATATAGCATTGAATTGTTTCTGACAAAGAAATCAATACTTGACTCAAATTTTGCTATATCCTATTACCGTAATATTAATTTATGTTGTTAATAGCTTTCAGTGTTTATTTGTGATCAGTATCTAGTCAAGTTTAATTTAAACAATTTGAGCTGATAGTGTTACATCCCACTATTAAACAGACATTATGCAAAAGCTAAATCTGCCTATTGCATGTCTGTTCATGCCATAAATTTTATATAAATTATTCTATTCTTTGGCACCTAGAAATGGATACAAATGGGTCGTAAAGCATATAATAATGTACTGGGCATGTATATAAACTGATTTACATTCAACTGTTCCTATTTTTACTGTAATTTGTTATCAGTTATGTTTGGCGAAATACACGAAGAGTCCAGATTTTGTATCTGGTTATTCCAATCTGCACTGGTAGTATTCTCCTGTGGGTTATGTTTAGCCTCGGTCATCGAGTCGCTTCATCACAAATGGCACCAGAAAGCATTTGGATTGGATATCAAAAGCCTATCTTTTCATGGTAAGATACATGTACATGTAACAATATCAGTGTTGATTTAAATTGACCAATAATTCGTGTTTGCAATGTCAAGGACTGTGGATGATATTGAGTTAAAGACTTGCCTCCTTTAATTAAAGATACATTATGTAAGATTTAGATAAAGAGCTGACCATTCTTGCTATAATAGCCCCAAAATAGATAATATTACTTCATTCTGAGCCAAGTTAACACAGTTTTGACAAGATGTGTGCATTGTGATAACCAGGGCACTGGTATATTCGAGACTTCGCCTCGCTTTCCAATTTTTAAATTAAATTTTTGAATGACGAACCATTCTAATCTAGTTAAAATCTTGAGTATCCGATGCCATTGAGAGTTAATTATGGTCTTGTTTTGTTAATAAAAGTTTCTATAACATTTCAGGCCAAAAGAAGGACCTGCAATAGGCAGAATTAGCTCTTGTATAATGTATGTTTAACTTACATGTAGTAAGATCATAATCTCGATGCCATCGGATGCTGGAGATTTTCAACAGATTTAAATATGATTGACAGTTAATGATTTAATTTAAAAATGGATAACCAATACTTTGTTTATTATTTGATGACAATCAAGTCTACACTGTTCTGACAGCGATAAAGCAGCTCAGTGTGAAGTAATTTGACTGAAATTTTGAACATATTCCCTTTTAATTATTTATTTTTGAATTATTTTGCGAGAACTGTCAGCTCTTGATCTAATCTTATATACATGTAATGCCCCTTTAATGGTTGGTAAATGTTTTCTAACATTTTAGTTGAGTGCTACATGTAAATGCATGTACTATAGTTGAAATCCATTTTGTGTTTGTTATATGAAGATGTTTGAAAACCATTAAATCTCCTCCAAATATGTGGACCAAAAAGTCTTTATTACTGTACATGTATTATAATTATACAATAGTACATGTATTATAATTATACAAGTCAAACCTTGCTATAGTTAGCCAGTTTTATGTTGTTAATAGTTTTCAGTGTGTATTTGTGATCATAGAAGTTGTGTTTCTACTAGTCAAGTTTAGTTTTTGTGAAAGTCTCAGTTATATTAAAGGGAATGGAAGCTTATAATTAACCAATTTCCTACCGGGACCTCATTTGACCCAATTCTGGCCGGCTCGTTTCAAAATGGATTAAGAACCCTGCCGGAGAGTCTGGCATGGTATAGTGTCTATAAGACCAAAAACAGAGGAGGTTTTGTGGACATGGTGGTGTGGTGAAAGTAAAAGAACCCATAATAGTACTGCTGTTTGTTCATAATTTCCCCTCATAGCACACTGCTTGCCTTCATTATCCCGGTCCGTGCAGAAAAGTTCATTTCTGCTAAAGTAAATTGCATGATTTTTGTCGATGCCAGTGTTAGTTTATCATGTATAATAATATATATAAAACATAATTAATGTAATAATTTATTCTTTTGTGCATTGCTGTTTTATTTTGTTCAGTATGTTGATTTATCAGCTGTGGCTGTATAATCCTATGTATTTAATATGTAGGTTTACTCAGCCATCTATCTTTTTGTTTACATTTTAACATTTAAAGCCTGGAACATAGTTCATTTAAATCATTTTTAATAACCTTGCTATCTGGGATTTGTTGACGACTATCTTTAAGCTAGCCAGTTTGTTCCCCCCCCCCCCCCCGTTTCTGTGTTTTAATTTAATGTCTTTGTTATTATTGTCATATATTGTTGATATGTTCTTATATTTACTTATACTTAAAGATCACAAATTTGGGTTACAAAAGTAAAAGATTCCATTAATTACTTGGTTTATTTAAAGTTATCTCAAATGCAGCATTAAATTAATTTCATGCAGCTATCCAGGATTCCAGTAGACCAAGAGACAGCGTATAAACCATTCATGGCCCAGTCAGACTGTAGAAACATAGCTTCCGAAGTTCAGTCTCTACTTTAAAGATCTTGATAAACCATCTTTGGTACTATGTACTGGGCTATAAGCACTACTCATCTTGTTGTTTTGATATATGCTAATATAACTTTAATGGATGCAATGTAATTAATTCTTTTATCTTATACTACCTCTATAAAGACACAGTTATTTTCTTCAGTGGTAGTGAGATGATTTGAAATGTTTTGCAGATGTAATTCTCAAAAAGAGAATTAACTTTTAATATTAGATATTGTATATGATCTTTCCTTAAAACATAAATTAGATGATTGGAACTCTTGGTGGCTCTGTGGAAAAGAAAACTGATGCATAATCTTACTCACACCCATGTGTATATACATGTATGATCTTCCATTACCAAAAGAAGTTCAATGATCAGAACTCTTAGGGGCCCTAAAGTAAAGACCTGTTCCGCTTCCTTCCACTGCTAGATAACCCTACATGCAAGCAAATTATTAAAATTAAACTGTACTTAAACCCAAAATGACATAGTGGACTTTAAACCCCATCTTCACAGGGAAGATAATACAATATGTATCTTAATGAGGCTCATATATCTTTCTATAATTATGACCCATGTCTTTTATTTATTTTAATTCATTTTAATTTGTACAAATTTTCCTTGTGTGTTTCTGAATTAACTTTATGAGAAGTAGATATATTTGGATGAGGAACTTTTCCCCAAGCGCTACCTATCTTGTTCTTCTTAGGGCAACGCTCTTCGAAAAGCCTAAGGCTTCACCAATTTAAGAGCATGGACATGAACTTGCCAAGCGTGTTCGATTGACGGATTTCAATTTTTTGATATGATTTCACAACTCCATAACAGCCGCGACAATGCCCCACTCCATTCCTGGTTCTTACTTGTAAATTGTCAACATTTTGATCGTTAAAATTCCCTTTGTTCCAAATCAAAAATCTGGTCAACTGTCTGCTCTCTAGAAGTAAATGTTAGCGTGAGGAAATAAGGACACTTATCGTCTACTGAGCTTGATGTTAATTTTCGAATGTATGTGAAATATGACAATTTCATCAATTGGGATTGTTATTACTTTTACTTGTTTTTAATTTTTAATGATTACTGTAATAAAATGTGAACAGTTTTTTTAGTTTCGTTAAAAGGAAAAAAAAGGGATTGATTTATTTCATGGGTTCTAACTTTTATATCATATATGTCGGTGCTAGACATAGAGGTTTATAATATCAATATATACACCTCCATGGTGCTGGATTATTATCCGATGGAGTGGGAGGTCTATAAGGCATACCAACGAAGGGAGAATAACAACAAAAACACGTTTTTATACCCCCACATTGAAATGTGGTCGTATAATTATTGTCGTCGAACCCGTCCATCGATCCGGCGTCCACATGACGCTTTAGAGGCTAGAGTTAATATCCGATTGACTATAACTTTATACATGGTGTTTAAGGTCATGACACGAATAAGCCCAGTGATTGTCAATGATTTCCGATAATTACTACCAGCGTTATGTCCCTTGATCACTTTGAAAAATCTTGTGGATGCTCTAGAGACCAAAGTTATCACCCGATTGACTTTAGATTGATAAACAGAGTTTAAGGTCTTGAGACCAACAAGTATATTGATTTTCAATGAATCCATGATATTAAATTAAAACTGCAACTAAATGGTGTGAAAATTGCATCAGCTCGCTAAACCAAACCAAAATATAAGACATTGCTGTGATGTTGATGGCGACAGAAAAGGAATAAATCAGCATATTCGTGTTCCTCATTACTCCCCCACCCCCTCCCTTGACGCAGAAATGTTTTAAATACTTACTATAAATGATGCTTTCTACCTAGAGTATTCTGGTGTTTCTAGTTCGTGTACAAATTTATAGTGCTGCGGTTGCAATCTTATCAATTCATACAAAATTACGCAAATTAAAGACTTAAAAATGGCCCCAAAACTACGTATAGATAACATAAACTTAGGCTTCTTTTCAGTCCATCCCTACATTCAGACCTTCTACTGATTAATGGCGCCGTGGACTAAAACTCCCTTACAACTATAGGCTTGTGCATTTTACCCAGTCTTATTTTATTTCGTCAATTCACCGTTGAAACAAACGATCGTTAAATTCATATTACGGGAAACCCAGATAGCCAAAAGACAAAACGTCTAATGGTCTATGCCGCATAGCATAGTCTGCCGTCTTCATTAATTTTCCTGGTCTATTCATACGCCTGTGTCTATATTGCAGACCTACCCATTCCATCACCTGCAATGTTATAGTTAGGTAGTAAGTAAAACCTGCGTAGTTCCTGACAATAGACTTGATTGAAAACAAGAGAATTAAAAGGGTTTTAAATAAATTTATATAATCCATGACAAAACATGACACATTTTTATACATAAAAGATTCATTAAAACGCGTAATCGGATGCCGGTTTATATATATCAAAACAATGAATCTGAAAATGAAATGGGGTTTAACGTCCTACTGTTCTGTTTCGATTGGACTAATGCAGACGGTCATACGCCATACAGTGTGCTATGGGGGAAATTTTTCCTAGAGAGCGGCGCAACGCCCTATTATATCGAATTCCAACTGCCAAGGGATCTTTTACGTGCACGCCAATGTGTGCACAGGACCTCGGTTGAATTTAAACATATTTTATTGTTCTAACTAACAAGTGGATAAGGCTCAAGTTTTACAACTTAGAACGCCATCTCCAATATATACATTTACATAAACAAATAATCATAATCGAACACATTACATTTATTATCAAATCTGTTTTGCATATCTTAGTATGAAGAAAAGAAAAGAAAGAAAGAATGATAGTAAAGTAAGTGTAGAAACTATATGAAATTTAATTTCATCATAATTTCAAAGTACACTATTTCAATTTAATTATGTCGCGAATCTGACAGACCCTTACAGTCCATAGTGGATTAACTGTACAATATATTCTTTTATGTTAATTCATATTCTCAGATATAAATTCCGGATATGTGAAGAGTAATTATAATATATCATTTAATTTACAGAAGTTTTATATTGTGTTTTGTCTCTGATTCGTGACACAAATAACAAAGATGTGTGATCGTCCAACGAGCCTAGTTACTCTCTTTAAAAGGAAATGACATGGGGTTTAACGTCCTACTTTTTTGCTCCGAACTGGGCTAATGAAGACGGGCATACGCCATACAGTGTGCTATGAGGGAAATTTTGGCCGGACAGCGGCACTATGGCCTACTCTTATATCGAATTCCAACTGTCAAAAAAAGTAGGGGATATTCAGAAACAATACCAAACTGCAGAAATGCACTGCTGTTTTTATTAGAGGTAAGCAGTGTATGTTTAAGGGCTAATCCCGATAATTTTTTGGAGAATAACACTGTTTAATTTTGTTTTAAAATCCCTGAAAATCTACTACCTAAGGGCCAAGCAACTAACTCAATATTTGTGATAAGTTTTCAAATAATTGAAACCCGTCAGTCATCATCTGGAAATGGAGACCGGTGTCCCAAGCTGTATTATGCGGTGTCTAGATAAAACCAGACATTTTCTGTATAAAAATAATGTGTAGGTGAAATTTACCTTTCATTATCAAGTACAGCATTTGGGTCATTCACTGTATAGACCTCTCAATGAACGGGAATCGATTATCAGGTCTCCCAACGAAAAAATTGACCCTAAATCTTAAAAGGGTTACGTGTTCGGATAAGCAGTTATGATGGTCACGTCCAAATGAAATTTTGAGATACGGTCAATACACCATTCCTCGATATTTTGGCGTTTAAATTTCATACATACTCAGACTTTTATTTTTGAGACTCTGTTCAAATAAGGGATAGTCCCTTTAATAACAGGCCAATCGCGTACACAGGAACATAAACAGTTCATATGGGTGGCTTATCTGAAGGCCCCATTTCACTCGCAAAGAGATACACTGTCATAAGTGAAAATGGACGTTTTTGCTTTTTTGTCTTAATAATGAGTAATTGCTCCACCAATCCTCAGACATTCAGCAATTCGTCGTGGCATGCTCCTAATCAACCGTCCAATCACGATTTGGGGCAGTCTGACCCAATCCTCTTGCAGTGCCACCGCCAATTCTTGCAGTGCTGTCGGTTGACGTTGACGTGGATGAACCTGTCTCCCGATCAAATTAAACGTAACACACTAAAGCAAAGATACGCTAAACAGTAAATATTATACAAGAACTGATAGGAAAGCAAACATGGATAGGATAAACCAGCAAGCGGCAGTTTTCATCAACCCTTCCTTGAAGTGGCAAATTTGACAATGAACCCATCCCACGTGTATGGCGCTATTGCGTGTCGCACATGCAGCTCAGTGGTTCTGTTGGGACGATAAGTTCTTCATCTGTGAACATACTCTCAAAGCATGTCAAGTGTCCATGGCTATTTATCATATCACAACCTGCATAGGTATTTGCATTTCAATATCCCCTACTTTTTTTGAAGAGTATATGTCATTGAGAAAAAAAGCGACCAGTATTTTTTATATACCTCTGAACATTTAAAAAAAATATGCACATTAGTTTCACAGTTTAGTAACTCATTACCAAACGACAAAATGTCAGCAATTAATATTATATAACCAAATTGTAGCATCTTCAATTCAGCTATCATGACGTCTCTGTGGATATTATATTTTGAACAAGATAATAAGAAATGGTTTGCGTTTTCAATATCACATCCACATGAACAAGCAAAACTATCAACTATATTTACATGAAATAAATCGCCCTTTTTAGGCACTGCATTTATTACTCAGCCTGCAGTGTAAAATGTTTAAATATAGATCACCACATCAAAAATAAATTGGAACATTTGCATTTTGAAAATATACCGCACGCCACATAGTTTCTTTTTTAAAAAGAGAAAATGTTGGTAATTGTCTCAAATGTAAATCCAAAGAGTTCCCCAGTTTAATAGTGGACGGAAAAAAAGAATTTTGATATGCTAACATTCTGATTAAACCCTGACTCAGATTTGGGGAGTTGCGCAGACCATAACTGTGATTTTGTGATACTAGGTCTGTAAGATATTCGGGTGTCTGCTCATTTACCATTTTATAGAATAATCACAATTTCCTGACCAGCCTCCGAGTTTTTAGAGTTTCCCAACCCGACTCTTTATAAATGAATTCTAAATTCGCGTAACTTGTTAAGCCCGTTACAATTCGAGCTGCTTTGATTTGGAGCTTTTCTAAACGCTCAGAATTGACATTTCCACAATTGTCCCACACTTCAGATGAATATTCCAATACTGGCCTTATAAATGTTAAGTACATTTTTTTCAAGTATTTTCTCTTTAATTTATAGTTTAGTTTTCTTGAAGTGCTAAACTGTTTCGAGGCATTGTCAATCAATTTATCAATATGATTGGTCCATTTACAGTCGCTACTGAAGATAATTCATAAATGTTTGTGTATATTGACAGGTTTTAGTATTGTTTCACCAAAATCAAATGCCAGATTACTTTCCACGTTGGTTAAACTATAAACCATTATGTCTGTTTTATTAGGATTGAATTTAACCAGCCACATTTTTGACCACCCATTTAAATAATTTAAATCTATATTAATTATATTTTTCAAAGTATTGTAATTAGAAGCCACATGTCCAATAGAAGTATCGTCTGCAAAAAGTCTACCTAATCCTACTGTACCGTCGGCAATGTCATTGATAAATATAAGAACAAGTAAAGGTCCTCAGACTGACCCTTGAGCCACACCTGACCCTTGAGCGTATGTCAGATAATGCTTCTTTAAGCATTACTTTCTGAGATCTATTTGTCAAATAACTATTGAGCCAACTCAGTAAATTTCCTTTAATCCATCTTTCTAAGTTTAACAACAATCCTTTAATCCACATCGTATCAAATGCTTTACTAATATCAGCATAAGTTAGGATAGCTTTTTGTTTCTTTTCAAGTGCACATAAAATTCCATGAGTAGTGGAAAAACCAGGTATAAACCCCGACTGAAATTTATAGAGTATCTTATTAGATATCAAATGGTTAAAGATATGTTTGAATATTATCTTGTACAGGATAAAAGAGAAACAGGTCTATAATTACTTGGCAACGATTTATCCCCATTTTTGAGCAGAGG